TGCACCATCTTCCAGGCCCTGGATTCCTTATCCGATGGCTCCTTATCCAGCCTGGCGGGGGCCGCACAGCCCGCCAGCAGCAGGAGTACTGCCGCCTCGGTCGACCGCGGGTGCCAGCGCGCCTGCGGGAGCCCTCATCCCGCCGCCCGTCGCCGCGGTCGTGCAGCTGTACGGGCCTGCCTCCGCCGAGCAGGTGCGGGCCAGGGGCCAGGCGGTGCGCGGGGCGAGCGCGGCCGCAGTGGGCGCCAGTGCAGCGGCGGCCCACGAGGGCGGCCAGCGTGGGATACGCGGAATTGCACGAATTCACTCACGGGCCTCGCGGCCCTTGAAGAAGATCTGAAACATACCCTTGCCGCAACGGAATATGAAAATACAGTTTCGCTCTCGCGCTGCCCAGGAGGGTCCCAGAAAGGTCGCCGCCCCTCGCCGACCTCCTCCTGCCGCTGCCGCCACGCCGGCGCTGGTGCCGCTGCCGCTTGGCATCGCTTAACCAATCCCCATCCCCATCCCCATCCCCTACGAGACCCCCACCAAATTACCACCCAAGTCGGGGATACACCCCTCGAGACCCGAAGGGAACAACCAATGTCCCCATCTAGGGGGGTAAATCGACCAGTGGGGCCCAGGCCACGCCGCTGGGGATGCGGATCGGTTGAGCGATACTCAGCCGCCGCCGCGCCTGCCGCCCCGCCCAGGCGCACTGTGGTTCGGTAGCAAATCGTAGTCGGGGGCGACGACTGGGGCAGCGACGGGAGGGGGTGAGGATCAGGTTCGAGGTTCGAGGCTTCGAATTGTTTTTGGGCGTTCTCGGCGGCTCTCGGCGGCTTTCCGGCCTCGGGGCGCTCTCCAGCGGCGGCGCCTCGCTTAGGGTGTTCTAGGGGTGCCTGGATCGTCCCGAATGGCCGGCGGAAACCCGAGTTATGGCCCGAAAGCCACCGGGGACGGGGATGAAGATGGTGGGGGATGCATCGACCCCCAATCGCCCAGTGATCGCCGATGGGGGCCCGACAGCCCCAACCTGGCCAGGAGCGCGCGGATTCACACTATCGGGGGCCTATCGGCGACCTGTCGGCGATGTATCGCCGATTCCAGGTTGATTTGTCCCCCCCATATGCCAGTCCCCGCCGATCGTTGCCCCTCACACGGGAGCCTCGCATATTTTCGCCACTCTGTCTTTACAGGCAGTAGCGACAGTACGCGGCCAGTAATATAAGGGGTAGCGCCGATTCAGCGTCGATCACCATCGAGTAGCATCGATTAGCGTCGCTTCAGCGTCGATTCGCAAGAGCGAACAAGATGGCGTGGGAGGCTCCCATGAGTTACCACCGAAGGGCTATGATATTTCAGCCCCACCATACCACCACCCCAGTTTGGGACAGGCCCCTCGAAACCCGAAGAGGACAGCCTGTATCCGCATCCAGGAGGGGAATTCGGCCAGGTTGGCCCAGCCCACGCCAATCGGAATTGGCATCGATTAAAAGATGCTCAAGCACGCCCTTCTACTCGGGTCGCACGAAAGGGCGGGGGGGAATAGGGAAAGGGATTGTTCGAGGTTCGAGGTCTTCTGACGACTCGTCATCCTCGGGATGCTTTCCATGACCTGCGACTCGACGAGAGCGTTCCCGGGTGCCCAGATCGTCCCGGTTGGCCGCTGGGGACCCGAGTTATGACCCGAAAGCGAAACAACGATAATCTTTCTGGGGGGAGAGGGACAGGGAGGGTTACGAGATCTGCTGCTCGCGCAGCTGGTCTCGGCCCCGCCCTTCTTTTCTTTTCTTGGGCAAGCTGCAAGGCACCAGCCTGAAGCGTACGTGGGGGGCAGCAGAACCGCCGTCAACGAGAAAGTACAGGGCCTCCTGGAACGCGTACTGGGCTCGTGGAGGCCAGCAAGTCAGGCGTCTGGCCTCGCCCCCCAAAGGCCTGTGGAATCCGGCAAGTGCGGGCCGAGACGAGAGACAGAGCGCAAGTCTAGAGCTCGGCCTTGACGCAACAGCACGGTCAACATCAATGCCCCGCCCTCCAGGCGCCCTCCTCGACGCAGGTGCACCTCCCGCGCCGAGAGGCGCCCGGGAAAGCAGGTACTGGAGCTGACTCGACATACCCCCCCCCCCCTTCGCTATCCCTCCAGGTTCTCCTGCCCCAGCCGTCTTTTTCGCAAGGTTATTCCAGCCCTGGCGACATCCCAACCGTCCAGGGTTCCTACTCGGCCCCTGTTAGTTTTTCCAGCCCTGGCTACCCTCTCTCGCAGCACTTCGACCCTCCATGTTTTCAAGCTTCCCTGCTCTGGGAGCCTTCGGCACAACCTCCTTAAGTCAGGGAAGAAGGGATACCGATACCGCCGCTGCTCGTCCTAGAGAGCCATCGTCGCCACGACTGGATTCGCATCGAAGTGTTGGTCAGAGCGCACCCTGGGAGTTCCCCCAGCATGGGTTCGACGACTCTTTGCCTTTTTGATTTGCTGGGGTCAGGCCAGGCATAGTGAGGCAAACCGGTGTTCGCCTACGTAGATTGATGCACGTCCATGTAGATCCAGGTAAATTCAGATTCATCCAGATACACGCAGCAGATTTGCGTCGTGGAAGCTCCAGCGCGAGTGGAGCGTCAGCCAACGTCGCTGAGCCTATATCGACCACCACACGGCCCCCAGAACTGTCCAACAAGTCCTCATGATGCAGGCCTGGTCCCTGGGGAAGGGGAAGGTCCCAGGGTTCAGGACCCAGTTCCCTCAGAACCCGTGTCTCGTGGTTGCAAACAACCCGCCGCCGTGACGGGCTCGCGCACAAGAGCTTTTTTGGAGGTCTTTGATACCTCGGGGAAGGGAAGGTATTCTGCGGTCGTGGAAGTTTCCCGGGGATCTCGCCCCCAACCCCCTAAATTACCTCCTCCCTGGGCGTCCTCGCTGTGCGGTAGTGCGTTATGTCTGTGTTTCAGTTTGTTCATGTTGTGTTTCGATTGCCCTCTGTGTTCTGGGCTCTCGAGTCTTGAACTGTAGCTCGCATGCTCCTCGTCTCTTCCCGCTTGCACCTCCTCCTTCCTACCCCTTCCTGCACTATCGTGCAAGCAAGACTCTGGACAATGACCGTTATGTGGGTTCAGGCGGGGCTATGTCGGGTACAGCCAGGACCCCAGGTAAGGGGCCCCGGTTAGTGGTAGGGCCCCGGAGGCTTTCAATTGGCCAGAATCACTAAACCGTGTCCGCCGTAGCCGGTGTTTTTTCGGGTGACGGCAGTTCCGGTTAGTGGAACGGGGCGGGGGGGGGCGTCCCCCAGTACACATCACCAAACCAGGTCCCACTAGACCCAGTTTTGACAACGCCCGACTCTCGTCCTGTCTCGCTGCCAGCGCTCACGATACCAGCGGTCACACAGTTCAACGATAACAACGACAACCAGGATCCGTATCGTTGGGATCGTCATCGCTGGGATCCTCATCGTTGTGATCGTCGTCGTCCTCGCGCGCCGCCAGGCAAGGAGGACAAGAAGGCGGAGCAGGTGGGCTACGCCGCCTTCAAGCAGTTCTGCGGCGGCCTCGGCTGCCCCAGCCCGGGGGGGAGGGGCATGGCCGTGCCCAGGCGCCGTCGCTGCCGGGGGACCGGAGGCGAGAAGCACACACACGCACAGATGACGACGCTGACGACGACGACGATGGCGATGGCGATGGCGATGTCGACGATGGCGATGGCGATGGCGATGGCGATGGCGATGATGACGATAACGCCGTCGACGACGACGGCGATGGCGATGGCGATGGCGATGGCGAGGATGATGACGATGGCGATCGTCGTCGTCATCGTCATCGTCATCGTCGTGCGTTCGGGGGGTCGCGGGGTTTTCGGATCCGATAGCCCCCTGGTTGCCTCCATGGCGCCGCCCCGCTGCCGCGCGATCATCGGGCAGTTCATCGGGCAGTTCATGGTCGTACAGTTTTTTCCCAGGAGGTAAACTCGGGCGAAGAGAACCATGCGCATGCACAGGTCCTGGCCAGGCCCATCCTTGGCCCCAGGATCGGTGCATATGCCTTCCTGGCCAAGGCAGAAGGGCGTATGCACCGATCCTGGGCTCGGGATGGGCCTGGCCAGAATCGGTGTATGTGCATAGTTCTCTTTCCTTTGTAAACATAGGCACACATAAACGTCGGCTTCCAGCAAGAAACACTATTGAAATTGTGGTCAGTGGGGCAGAAGACGAAAATTGTGAACACGTGCAACGACATTATCTGTGTATCCCTGGTGCCCGTATTTTCTCTAGAGAGGGACGGAGGAAGGGGAAGGAGGACACGCACGAGCGGGGAGGGCGAGCGGATAAGGGGGTAGGGGGGATTTTGAGAGGATGGAGGAGGAACAGGAGGAGGAGGAGGAGAAGGAGTGCGTTGGCGCAGGAGGAGGCGGAGGAGGGCGAAGACGATGAGGTTCGAGGGCGGGGAGAATGAAAGAGGGAACGGAAGGCTAAGGGACCACTTTTAGGTGGAGCGAAAGGCGGGAAAGGAAGGATGATGGGTTGATTGAATGATTTGTCATGCCGTTTTCGTGTTTGCGGTTTTCTGGCTATCCTCACATATTCCGAGGGCTAAAGCCAGCAACAATACTAACACCACTGACCGCAACAACAAGAGCAGCAACAGCAACAGCAACAACAACAAGCATCAGTTTCAGAGTGTTCGTTCGTATTTGCGTGCGTGCCATTCAACACGTATATCCAAACCATCGATACCCGCCCTCTCCGTCTTCGATCGTACCCCTTTTGGGGTGTATGGCTCGTACTTGCAACGTGTATGTCATGCAGCCCCTACGGCAGGGAAAGAGAGGGCGGATGGAAGAAAGGGACAGGGGGCGGGAGGAGGATAGAGCACAAGAGAGAGAGAGAGAGATTAACAGGGGGGGCTAGGAACAGGAAGCACGTGGCAAAACCAGACGGGCAGATCGGGCGGGTGGACGCTAACAGGCGGGTCGGGAAGGCGGGCCCAGGCGGCCAGGTCGAGCAGGCGGGTCGCTAAAGCGTGCGTCCTGAATGAATCGCGAGTCTCGGGCGATAGCGCGATCCCCAATTACACCGTGAGTTATGCCAAAGCGAGAGCGTGACTGAGTGTCGAGGGGGCGGCGTCTGAATAAATCGAGGAGGTCTCACGCGAGGTCGCCATTCCTGAGTACATTGTGAGGACGTCCCGCGCGAGAGCGCGATTTAGGAATACATTGTGAAGAAGTATCAGGCAACACCGTTGTTGTTGTTGTAACTCGGGGGGCCAGGTGCCTAAATTTGAGATCCAAGACTTCCCCGACAAGAGGAACAACAGGATGCAAGCCCCAGGAAGAGCAATTCAATTGAAACATTTAGTGTGCTCTGGGGGGATCAACTGTAGCAGTTCTTCCGTAGTGAGAACTCAACAATCCGTAGCTTTTTGGTTCAAGCCATTTTGGCTCAAGGCGCCCGGTGGCCAGGCACCAAGGGTGGGCGCGGCCGCGCCCCCTGGCCCTCGGCGGCCACTCTCGTCGGTCCTTTTCCTCGCTCCCCTCTCGCAATGGAGGCGATGCGTCAGGCCACGCCGTGGCCTAGAAGGGCTCCTGCTCCGACTACCCCTGTGGAGAGCGCGGTTAGCGAGGGCTTCTCCGTCCGCCCACCGCCCGCAGGTGCAAGGTACAAGCACGACGGGCACTAACCTGATTGCCGCTTTCAAAGAGTTGGCTCAATCAGCCTCTCTCGTGCAGTCTTGACTCTCATCCATCAGCTGGATCGGAGTATCACTAAGATCAACAACATATTCTTGGAGAGCCATGGCCAGCTGATGCAAGTTGAGAAGAGCTTTCAGAGTTTACAGACAGCACGTCCTAACCTCGCGAAGCCGACGACCGATACTTTCGCGAATATTCGTTCTATCCAGGAGCAGGCCTTTCTGCAGGCCGTTCAGGATCGTGAGATTGCAGAGGGTGAACTGAGGAAGGAGCTGATGGGGGTCACTGGCACGATGAAGGAGGGCGTAGAAGCGTTCAGCGACGCTCAGGTTGGAGGCACATCAACCCCTATTGGCGGCACAGCAACTCCTTGATGATGGTGACCAATTCGCTCGTCAGGCTCGTCGCCGGGCTGAGCAGATGACGTGATCAATTCATTCGGCAGGCTCGTCGTCGGGTTGAGCCAGAAGACGTTTGCAACCCGACTCGTCTCGTGGTCCCGGCATTTCGCCGATCTTTCATCGTGGCATCTTTTCGCCAGGCTGTCAACCCGATCGTGAACGCGCGCGCGTGGGCCAGTGGCATCCACTGTGTCCATGCGGAGGTGTCAACTTCAGTAAGTCTGCGTGCGTTGATTTCCCGACCGCTCTGATGGTCTCCACGCTCCACGCGAAGCGCATGTCTGAGGGGTCGCTGACTTTTCCTGCTCCCGAGGGCGGACTGGACATTGAGCACCGCGTCCGCTGCAGTCCCCCGCAGACGCCCCGCAAGTGGTTTCACTTTCTCGGGGACGCGAGGCAGGCAGGCAGCGGCGCGGATCTTCGGCCAGGAGCGCGTTGGACCCACGGGGCTCGGGGGGTGATTTACGCGACGACGCGTGGTATTCCTGGCCCAGCGGCGATTGACAATTGCCCAGCGGCTGGCGGCGTTAACGCGGCGGTGGACAAAGTGGGCTCGGCCGAGATTGAGGGGGGGCGCGCGCGCCGCGTCTGCCGGCTCGCTTCGCGGGGGGCGGCGAGCGCAGCGGCTGCGCGGAAGGAAGGGGGCTCGACGGGAGACGCTTTGGCATCTGCGAACTCAACTGCCCCCCCGCCACCTGAGAGCAGCGCTAGCCGTAATTCTATGGACACGGCGTCGCAATGTTCTTCTCCTGGTTGCGGTTGTTGGCGAGGTCCATCGTCCATCTACTCCGCTCGCGCTCTGCGCGTGGAACGCCCGCGCTCTCTTCGCGCCCGTCGCGCCCCCTTCTCTCCGAGCGAGCGCGAGGTTTCAGCGGGCAGAGAGGTTGTTTGAGAGGCATATCGGATTGCGCGTCTCCAGGACGCCCACGGTTACACGGCAAACTTGGCCATGCTAGCTGACGAGATGCGCGACAGGGCAAATGGGGGGGCCGCCTGCTGTCTCGGGCGCGCTTTCTGCTGAGTCCCCGCGTGCTGTTCTTATCGAGGTGTTGGAAGGGGGTCTTCCTTATGGGCTGCTCGAGGCCTACTGGGGTCCTCGCGAGTGCGAGTGCCCACGTGGCTAACGCGCGCGGTCACGGCGGCGTAGAGTCGCAGCGTCTGCAGAGAATCACCCCTGCAACTCACAGTCTGGCGCAAGATGATTGGAATTTCGCTGCAACGGCGGATGGGGGGGCCTTGGCGGGGGGGGAATTTGGCCCCTGGGATCGGTTGCAGCGCGGTGCCTTCAATGATCACTGCGCCCCCGACTGTGAAGTGCGTCAGCCGGGCCCCGCTTGCAGGGGCGCAGTCGGTGGCGAGCTCCGAGGTTTCTTCTGGATAGATCTACGCCACTCTCCCCGCGGGACTCGTTTGCGAGTTCGTTGTCGCTGCTTGCGTTGCGGGGGCCTTGACCTGCAGAGGGGCGCCATCGGGTCGCACCCCTGTTGCCGCGGCGATCGCCCGCCCCATGCCTGGAGCCCGGAGGCCCCTACTGGTCCCGAAATTGGTTGGACAGCGCCGCGCAAGAGGATGGTCTCAGAGCTGCCGAGGTGGCTCGCACTTCCAGAGGGCTCGCTGGAGCGCGTTCGGAAAGTGAAAACTTTGTCCGGCGCAGTGGCGACCGAATGCCGGCGGCCCCTCTGGAACCGACAGGCGTCGAATGATGCGGAGCGTCTCCATGTCGCCGTCATGGCATTCCGAGGTTGGAGGGGGCAGCAGCGGTGCATGTTCATCCGTGCGCTGCGCGACCACGATGCTCTTTTCGCTTTTTTTATATTGACCGCGGCATCTGCGCTGGCCCAGGCGGATTGCTTCCACTGTTCGGCGCGTTGAATAACCTATGGTTTTCGGAGGAGCTGGGGGGCGCGGAGCAGAGCCGGGGGGCCGAGGAGGTCATGGGCAAGCAGGAGAAACGCCCGATGGCATTGAAGAGAGGTTACACACTAATGGGGCGTCGCATTGGACTGGGGCGGGGTGCTGGACGAGAACGGCCCCACCTGCCCGACCCCGGCGACGCGGCCCGCGCGCTGGCCAGCCGCTGGGAAAGAGCGTTCGCCCACTCCCCCCGCGATAGAAGGCGCTGTCCTGCGATGTCCCCCCACGTTCAATCGATTGGCCCGCTGCCTCGCGAACCCTTTATGGCGCGCGGGCCAGGGCGAATTTGAAAGGCGCGCGCGGTTCGAACGGCGCTTTGCTCCCGGCCCCGATGGCATCCCGCGTGGATGTTGGGCGGTTCCTGGCGCCGCTGATGTTCTGCGCGGCGTCTACAGAGCGGTTGATGATGGCGAAGGTGCTGCTCGTCCCCGACTGCAGGATTAGCAAGAGGAAGTTAGGAGCAGAACGCACGCGGCATAGCCAGACAGAGGGGCCCATCGGACGGGCAGACCCTAACGGGCGGGTCGGGAAGGCAGGCCCAAGCGGCCAGGCGGAGAAGGCGTGTTGCTGAAGCGCGAGCACTGCATGATCCTTCGCCGGAGGGACCCTCTGGTGCGGGCCCATTGGGGCCCCCCGATCGCCGAGGGCGATGCGATATAGTGGAGGCACATGCCAAGAAACTACCTCCTTGTCTTCACGGTGCCTTGGGTTTTTTGGGTTTCGATGGTTTCGCTATGGAAAGCGCGACGTCCCCACACCAAAAATCAACGGACGTCCTGGGGTCTCAGTGCCGGGTTTTGTTGTGGGTTTTTTTCGTGGACCTGGCCCCCGCTGTAAGAGTGACCCTTCGCCGGAGTGACCTCTGGTGCGAGCCTATTGTGGTCGCCCCGGTCGTCGAAGGCGACGCGATAGCAGCGTCCCGCGAGCCTGTGTTTGGCCACCCCGCGGACCCCCTTGAAGCCGCGCACCCGAGGCCAGTCTTTCCCAGGGTCGCTTTAGCGCTTGGCCAAGGATCAGGAGGGACAAAAACACACAGACACAATTAATCGTCGATCCCCAGGAAAATAGGGGAAAATATGGGAAGTGGGGGGAAGACAGAAACCCAGAAAATATGGGGAATCCTTTTATTTGTGTGTATTTATTTGTGTGTCCCAGGGCCCCTTCAAAGGAGGGCGCGGCGCGAGGGGCCCCGAAAAGTGCGGGGCGCGCCCGCCTCGCAGGGCGCTCGAGGGGGCACAGCAGGTCGGCCGACCTTCCGCCAGTTCAGAGGAGGAAAGTGCACCGTTGCCCTCGCATCGGTTCCCCCTGTTTTCGGGCCTCCTGGGGGGCCCTTGTCGCCACCGCTGGATTCGCTTCGAAATTTTGGTCAGAACGCACCCCTGGAGAGGTCCGTATCGGTACTTTTCGGTTTCCCCACCAGCAGCCTTGCTCGTTCGACGGCTAATCCCGGATCCCTGGGCCTCCCAGATGGGGTCGGAGTAGGTGGCGTCGGAGGCTGGCGCCAGATCGCCGCCACATCGCCGATGCATCGGCGATGCGTCTCGATGCGGGGCCCCATTATCTCCACGCCGACGCCGCTGATGTAGCGCCGACGTCGCCAGAGCATCGTTGATACATCAGCGATGCAACGCAAGCCTCCGACCCCATCTACTCGGACCCCATCGAAGAGACATCAAAAATCATACGAGCAGTCTATGTCCTCGAAGCGATGTCTGCGTTAGCATCTGGTAGTCGATAAAGATCCAATTCAGCGTCGATTTAGCGTCGATTGGCGTCAGCCAGCGTCGATTCGCAACTGCCAGCAAGATATGGGAGACTTCCGTGAAGTGCCGCAGAGCGCAGGGGATTGTTGGTCTTTCTTCGTCTTGCCTCCTTCCTTTCGGGCAAACGTAAGACTCGAGTTCGCCAGGACCTCCAGGAATCGGGGTTTTGCCAGTGCCGTTTTGCGGGTATCATCCTGAATTTTGGCGGTCCGTTTTTTTTTGGATGTGTGCAGCGGGTTAGCGCGACAATTTTCAGATTGCGTCTCGTCATTTTCCCGGCGGCCCCGTCAGGCCAACCTGAGTCCCCCGAGCCCGAGTTTTCCGTCCTCCCGAATCCTTCGTCTTCCCCCCCCCCCCCTCATCTTCCCCGTTCTGGCTGGCGTCGACGGACACTGCTGGAAGGCCCAACCAGCGGCCTCAGGTCTCCCACAGTTCGGGTCGGACTATCAACGGGGACAGGGAAGGGATTAAGTCGGGCCTGTCCCTCTACAGGGGGAGTATTCAAGAACAGTGAAACATAGTGTGGGGACGTTTTGCGGGGTACGTTTGACTATCGTGGGATATGTTTTGAATATATATATATATGTGTATGTATGTATGTATGTATGTATGTATGCATGCATGCATGCATGCATGCATGCATGCATGCATGCATGCATGCATGCATGCATGCATGTATGTATGTATGTATGTATGTATGTATGTATGTATGTATGTATGTATTTATGTATATATCTATATCTATATCTATATCTATATCTATATCTATATCTATATCTATATCTATATATATATATATATATATATATATATGAATTTTGTTTTCGTCGAAAATCCCCCTGTAGGAGGACATGCCCGACCTAAAGAAGGGGGGAGGTGCGAAGTCGGCCGCGCGCAGCCGGTTCGGGCCCTGCCCGCCAGGCGCTCTCCTCGACGCATTGGTCGCCCATTGGCGCCGGGAGGCACCGAGCACGCCAGCCACGCGAGCTGGCTCCGCGAACCCCTCTTGACTGACCCCCCCCCTCCTCCTCCTGCTCCTGCTCCTCCTCCCCCTCCTCCCCCTAACAGAGTCGAGAGCATGATCCGAGCTCGCGCCAGAGCGATCGCAAGACGGTCGGCTCGTGCTCGTGCGACGCTCTCCGGCTAGCTTGTGGGCGATGTATGATTCCTGGAGTGCTTGGTTATAGCCCCCATGAGGGGAAGCGGACATTGGCCCCCGGACGGGCTCCCTTGAGGCGGTGCGCTCCTCCTCCTCCTCCCCCTCCTCCTCCTCCATTCCTTCTCCTTATAGTTGACTTCTCCCTGTAGCACCCCAACGCCAGTTTTTCGGGCGGGCTGGGCGTTTCGCCTGAGGCTTCCTCACCCTTTATGATCTTGAAGCTTACAGAGTGAAACACAGCTTCACAGTTGGAGGGCGGGTGGTTTTCAAAATGTGGCTCTCGCTCGCCTTAGCGCCGCGCACAGTCGTTTTAAGCATTTACAGGAGTTTCACGGATTGATGGCTGGTGGTTTTCAAAATGTGGTTCTCGCTTTAGCGCCGCGCATTTTTTAAACATTCGCAAGAGTTTCATGGATTGAGGGCGAGAAGTTTTCAAAATGTGGTTCTCGCCTAAGCGCCGTGCGCATATGTCTTCAAACATCGCATGAGTTTCATGGATTGAGGGCGAGTAGTTTTCAAAATGTGGTTTTCGCCTAAGCGCCGTGCGCATATGTTTTCAAACATCGCAAGAGCTTCACGGATTGAGGGCGGGCGGTTTTCAAAATGTGGTTCTCGCCTTAGCGCCGCGCACATTCGTTCTAACAATTCGCAAGAGTTTCACGGATTCCCATGATCAACGTACCAGAAATGGTGTTTTGAAAAGATTCAAGATTTTGTGGGTGTAACAGTTATGTTGATTCGCTGTGTTGAAATCGTACACATGGCGTTATGGCATGATTCCGGATCGTCAACACGCAGCAGTCAGGCTGATATGTGGCGTTGAAATCCTGAGAACAATGTTTTGGCATGCTTCAGTATCTTCAAACGGTTGTCGTCCAACGAGGCAGTTCCCTCAATGTAAATGAGCCGTTGGAGGGAGGGTTGATTCCAACATCGTTGATGACTCAAGGGTTTGCACTGGCCCTCCTCCTCCTCCTCCTCCTCTTTCTCCCTCCTCTCCCTCCATCTCCTCCTCGGGTCGCCTACGGCCCTGGGGGGAACCTGGCAACCGGCCCCTGTTCGTCGGACCTGGAGGGGGGGGACGGGGGGAGGCCCTCACTGGACCATCTCGCAAGGGAGTGCAGCAATCGTGGATCACGGCGCGTGGATCAGCAACGGGCCCCGTTCCCATACGCAGCTGACGCAGGCAGTCCGCCAACTCGGGCGGCACCGGCGCCATGATTCTGTGATTACTTCCTCCGATCTGTGGATCTGGCGCCCACGCGACAGAGGCACATATCATTAATCCATATTAGCATGTGCCCGAAGGTAGGCAAGGGCTCCCTGGGCTCCACCGCCGTCGCCCCTCCGAGGCGAAGACACCGAGACCGAGACATCGCGCAACATCGAGGAGGCCGAGATGAAGATCGAGACCCTGAAGGCTTCCTGATGGGGAGGGGAAAGGAAGGGAGGTTGACAGATGAGAAGGGTCCCAGGCAGGCAGGATGGAATGTATCATGAGGAGGACAAAGGAGGAGAAGGGGAGGGATGAGAAGGAGGAGGAGGAGGAGGAGAAGGAGGATGACGAAAAGGGATGGAGCTGGAGGCAGAAGGAAGGAGGATGTGGAGCGGTGGGGCTTTACGTAGGAGGACGGATAGCCGGCATGCGGAGAAGGAGCAACACGATGAGTATGTACGCAAGGTTGATTGTGAGCAGATGACGCGCACACGAGATGGATGTTCAACAGGTATGTTCTGCCAAATATGATTCAATGCCCTCGACCACCAGACTGTGCTGTTCGGACATTTCCAGATCGTTCGTTTCCGGCCAGTACATTTGCGGACCATGTGAGTTGCCACCTCCAGTTGTACCGTATACCAGTTGTAACCGTTAAGCAACACATCCATAAAGAGGTCAGCCTCGAGCTTTTCAAGTGTCAGAAGAAGTGCTTGATGGTCAACCGATTGAACGTGTTCACCATTCGGCAGTCGAGCTGATGTTGGCCAAAATCCAGAGCGAGCGCGAAAGTTTCGACGGCGCCTTTCGGGACCTCCATGGATCCGCGCCGGCTCGCTCCCCGTGGCTCACGTGAACGGTGCCACGTTGGCGGGCGCGCACATGCGCCACGCATGTGGGACAGAAGTCCATTATGATCCCCCATCCGTTCCTGCCGTCCACGGTCGCTGTGGTTCACCCTCGTACGCGTCCTCGGGCGTTTGCCCCCTCTGCAGCAATCCGCTGGGCCAGAGGACACAATCAACCCGCGTAGTAAGGATGGGCAACCTTCCCAAGAGTACCCTTGCATCCTTGCCTACTCAATCCACCCTTGGCCACTTTCGTTGGCCAACCTCGTTCGACAAAACGTTAACATGGCCGTCCAAGGCCCTTACATCCCTACCGCGCATCCTTCTGTTACGAGCTGACTGTAAACCAGCCTGGGTGAGGCATATTGCGGTCGCGGTCGAATTCAATGTCGCCATGAAGCGGATACTTGCTGTTGATGACGTGGAACAGGAGGTTAACCTCAGTTGTGGCTAGGACCAGGATAATCGATCCAGAACGCTCTCGGAGCATCCTGGAACGCTTTGTAACGGCCGCGGCGCCAGATGCCTCCTCCAGAACCGCCACGTGTCCTAGATCTTCGGTCTGCCCCGGTCCGACGTTGTCCCCGTCTTGGTTTCGTCGTTACACCGAAGAGCCGAGACATTTGGTCGGATCGCGAAACGAGAAGCCACATGTTCCTCGTGGGGGGTGCCTTATGGGTTTCTGCGTTCCGCGCGCGGCGCAGTGACTTCCCGCGGCTGGGTTTCACCCGGGGCGTATTTTGTGCGCGGGCTTTCGGGCACGGTGGAGGCCCTTGCCGAGAGACACCCTGCTTGCCTCCGGGGTGCCCTGGGTCTCTTGGGTGTCGCTGGTTTTGCTGTTGAAAGCGTGACGCCCCCACACCAAAAATCAGTGGACGTCCTGAGGTCTCAGGGTTGGACTTCTTGTGGAAGGTTTCTTGTGGACTGGCCTGCACTGCATGGGGGACCGAAATGGGCACGAAATCAACGGGTAGAAAGTCCAACAAACAGCAGTTCTTGTTCATTGTGACCAGGATTCGCGGCCGGCGTCGCCGCGGTCGTTGCGTCTTGAAACGCAAGCTCTCCTGCCCAAGTGCTTGCAGCCGCTGTCGGTCTTGGACATCTTTGCTGTTGGGCATCGTACCCATGTTCGCCGTACCAGCTCCTGGCGTCCAGGGAGAGGGCTTCTTGCGGCCGCGTCCGCTCCATGTTCCAGGACGCACATCGGGGTGTCAGGGGAGGGAGGGAAGGCTTCTTAGAAGCTCCCCTGTTCACTAGAAGGCGCGGGCCTTATCCGTAGATGTAAGGCCGGCGCCTTCTGAGAGGCCTCTTTCTAAGAAAGTTTCCCCTCTCCCTCCACCGCCGCCAACGGGCATCGTACCCTTTTTTGTCGTACCCATTCTTCGCGTCCAGAGCGAGGATTTCTTGTTTCTTGCGGCCGCGTCCATTCTGTGTTTCAGCCACGCGCAGAAGGGGTGGAGGGGGAGGGGGGGTCTTCTTAGAAGCACCCCTGCTTCTTAGAAGGCGCGGGCCTTGTCTGTAGATGTAAGGCCGGGCGCCATCTAAGAGACAGCCGCCTCCTAAGAAGCCTTCCCTCCTCCCTCCTCCCCGTTGTGCGCGCCTCCAAAGGGCATCGGACCTATGCTTGCCGTACCCATTCCGCGCGTCCAGAGCGAGGGTTTCTTTCGGCCGCGTCCACTCTGTGTTTCAGCCACGCCCAGAAGTGTGGAGCAGCTACGCGCAGAGGGGGGGTGCGGGAGGTGGGAAAGCTTTTTTGAAGCACCCACCTTTCTCAGAACGCGCGGGCGCCCCTTCTAAGAAGCTCGCGGTTGATTCTTGGAAGCTGTTCTTGGCGTGTTTCTTAGAAGCAGGTGGCTTGCTTCTAAGAAGCTGTTACTGCTTCTAAGAAGCCATTCCGTGCTTCTTAGAAGTTGCTGGGGTTCGTCAAGAAGCGGCGCGCTGGCGCGCCCCTGGCTCCTAGGAAGGGCGGCCAGCGCCTTCTAGGGGGCAGCCGCCTTCTGAGGAGCTTTCCCCCCTCTCTACCCCCTGCGCGCGCTGACAAGTGTAGGGGGAGGGGCGCTTCTTAGAAGCATCCCTGCTTCTTAGAAGGCGTGGGCCTCATCTGTAGATGTAAGGCCGGAGCCTTCTAAGAGGCAGCCTCATTCTAAGAAGCCTCCCTCCTCCCTCCACCCCGATGTGCGCGCCGCCAATTGGGCATCGTCTTCAATTTCTGCCGTACCCATTCTGGGCGTCCAGAGCGATGGTTTCTTGCGGCCGCCTCAGCTCTGTGTATCGCCACGCGCAGAAGGGGGTAGGGGGAGGGGGGAAGTTTTCAGAAACACTGTCGCTTCTTCGATGAGGCGGGCTCTATCTGTAGAAGTCAGATGATGTGAGGCCGCCGCCTCCTTCTTAGAAGCCTTCCCCCCTCTCTTCACCCCGACGTGAGCGCCGCCAATGGGCATCGTATTCAATTTCTGCCGTACCCATTCGGGGCGTCCAGAGCAAGGGTTTCTTGCGACCGCCTCCGCTCTGTGCATCATCCACGCGCAGAAGAGGGGGTAGGGGAAGGGGGGGGCTTTTAGAAGCACCTCTGCTTCTTAGATTACGCGGGCCTTACCTGTAGATGTAAAATCATGAAAGGCCGCCGCCTTCTTCTGAGAAGCCTCCACCCCGATGTGAGCGCCGCCGAAGGGCATCGTACTAAATTTCTGCCCTGCCCATTCCGCGCGTCCAGAGCGAGGTTTCTTCTCGCCGTGTCCGCTCTGTGTTTCAGCCACGCGCAGAGGGGAGTAGGGGGAGGGGTGAGGGCTTCTTAGAAGCACCCATGCTTCGTGGAACGCGCGATCTGATCCATCGGTGCACGGCCGGCGCCTTCTAAAAGGTAGCCTCCTTCTAAGAAGCCTCCACCCATCCCTCACCCCGATGTGCGCTCCGCCAATGGGCATTGTATTCAATTTCTGCCGTACCCATTTTGGGCGTCCAGAGCGAGGGTTTCTTCTCGCCGTGTCCATTCCGTGTTTCAGCCACGCGCAGAGGTGTAGGGGGAGGGGGGAGGGCTTCCTCGAAGCAACCCTGCTTCTTGGAAGGCGCGGGCCCTCTCTGTAGATGTACGGCCCGCGCCTTCTAAGGGGCAGCCTCCTTCTAAGAAGCTTTCCCCCCTCCCTCCACCCCGATGTGCGCGCCGCCAATGGGCATCGCACTCGATTTCTGCCATGCCCATTGTTGCGTACCCATTTCGTACCCGTTCTGGGCGTCGTCTGTACGCCCGTACATCTACAGATACGGTCTGCGCCGTCCCTGCAGCGGGAGGGTTGCCAGCGCCTCCGTCGCCTGGAGCCCCCCGGCGGCGCCTCCTGCGCCGCCCTTGGCGCGCTCCGCGCGCCAGCCAGGAGGGTTCTAGAAATCTGCGCGGACCTCCGAGTCTTGATGCTTATGTATTTTCGCTTCCCACCGAGGGCCGCTCCACGGCGGTGTCGCCAGTGTCCGCCCCCCTCCTCTCGGGATGTGACAAGGTGCCGATGCCGCTCGCCGCTGCCCTTCTCTTGTGACCACGGCTAGATGCGCCTCGAAGTCCTGGTCAGAGCGCACCCAGTGAGGAGAGGTCTGGGGAGTAATTAGCGGCATCGTTCCCCCAGTCTCCTCCTCCTCCTCCTCCTCCTCCTCCTCCTCCTCCTCCTCCTCCTCCTCCTCCTCCCCCGCCTCCTCCTCCCCCTCCTCCTCCTCCTCCTCATCATCATCACCATCATCATCATCATCATCATCATCATCATCATCATCATCATCATCATCATCATCATCAGCATCGAGTCATGCAAGGGTGCCCTCTTTCAGGCTCGGTCTGGGCTCTAGCAATGGACCCCATCCTGAGATGTCTGGTTGAGCAAGCCGCTGATCCTTCTCTGGGGGACTGGCGCGGGGAGGTGGGTGGGTGTGCGGACGACACAGGCCTTGCTCAACCTAGACTCGAGGACCTATGCCGCGTCGCTCCAGTCTTTCAGGATGCAGAAGAGCTTGCTAAGCTCCGCCTCCAGACTTCCAAAACTGTCATCGTCCCTCTCTGGACAGAGCTCTCAGAGGCAGTCGTAGCACGAATTCGGGGATTCCTGCGCGAGCATATTCCCCAATGGACCAATATGAAGATCGCTTCCTACACCAAATACCTTGGGGTCCAGTTTGGGCCTGGGGCGTCGGAGGCGCTTGTGTGGAAGGAAGCGGTCGCCAAGTGGTGGACTCGTTCGTTTGACATTCCCAAATCCGAGAGCCCCACCAGTGTCAGTCTGCTGCTATACAACAGTACTGCATTATCTACTTTAAGCTACCTTGCCCAACTTTTCCCGATGGATCGCGAAGCCCTCCTGAAGGAAAAATTTGCCATCCACAAAGTCCTTCGGCTTCCACCCAGCACGTTTCGCAAAGCAGATGTTTTCTCTTTCACGGGACACGGTTTAGTGGCCCCACAGTCCGCCCTGATCCTAGGAGCGGCTAGTATGTGGCGCTGCTCCACTCTCACGATCACTGACTGGCGCGAAACGGCGGCGCTGACCTGCCCCGTCGTTGACTGGATCAAAGGAGAGTGGAGCGCCCCCTGCTGGATCCAAAAGCAGGGGATCGCCCAGCGCTTCGCAGATTTAGTGAATCGCCCACCCCGCCGAGGCATCCCAATTGTCCAGTGGAGAGCCTCGCATGCAGCAGGCCGCATGGAAACCCGTGCGGCGCAAGCGGTGGGCAAGAAGCCCAAGCTCCAGCGTACGATCTCCTCCTTCCTCCGCCTCAATCTCTTCCCCAATAAATTTGAAGTCACTATCTCCAAGCGTCTGAACGCTTGGGGACTTGCTGATAGCATCGTGGGCGGGGTGGCGGAGCGGTGGGGGGATTGTCTTGCAACGATTAAGAAGTTCAAACCTGCATGGCAGTGGTCAATCCTTAAGACCCTCGCAGGCGGCTGGACTACCAGCCATCGAATCCACGTGCGTGGGATCGTCAATTGCCTTTTTGGGTGCGCCCAGACTGACTCCATTGCCCATTATTTTTCTTGCCCCGTCCTCCGTTCCCTCGTCGGCCTCCCCTCCAACCCACTGACGTTCCTCGGCCTAGCGGCCGACAACGAATACAATTGTGAGAGCTGCACGTTCTCGCGCGCTGATGCGCTGCGTTTGGCCGTGTTGGCATTCCATACTTACCATAAGGCGAAAGCTGCGGTGACCCATGGGGACCAGCTCACGCCAAGCCAACAGCGAGCCGCCTTCGCAGCAGCACAGCACGCCACTGACATCTCAAGCGGCTGACGATGCGTGCGAACTGGCTCGCCCCAGGTACGGTCGATCATCATCATCAGCATCATCTTCAGCATCATCATCAGCATCATCATCAGCATCACCACCAATCATCACCATCATCACCATCATCAATCATCAGCAGCAGCATCATCAGCATCATCCTTCTCCTCCGTCTGAGGCCCTGGCAGCGGCCGAGTCTCTCGGGCACGCTTTTTCGGGGCGCGGTCTGGGCAGCCGTCCTTCGCTGCGCCGTCCGGGCCGAGGAGTAGTGCTCCGCCGACGGAGCGGGAGCGGGAGGACGAGCCAGGAGTGAGGGAAGGAGTCACCAGCCTCGACCTAATCCCTATCCCTGAGATTGACACGCCAAAAGGCGATGACAATCTTAGGGATGCACCCATCAGAAACTGAGGGAATCCCTAAGATCGCCATCGTGATGAGGCGATGCCCAACATGGGGATAGGGATATGTTCTGGGCTGGGGAAGGAGGAAGATTGCGCAGGGCCGATGGTCAGAGAGCGCCTGCCACTGCAGGGCCGCCAACAAAAAAGGGATGTCAAGTTGGTCAACCGCCTTGCCGGTTGAGCCGACGAAGATGTGCACAGAGTCCAACCCCGTTCGCTTATGTCCAAGGTTTTGGCTCGACGCCGGATGCGGTGCATCAATTTCGGCTGGACCAGACAGGCTGATTGCGCCCCTTGACGTCCATTTGGGGTGTCCTGCAGACCCGACCCCCCACCCCCACTCGAGAGAAGGAGCAGGGAACAAGCGCGGAACCATATGCTGCCGTTGTGCTGGAGGAGGGGCTGCGTCGCTGGGTCGGCGGCCGCGCCATCCTGGTCCCCGAGCGGACTTTTTCGCTCGAGGGCGGTGGCCCCACTGCCCCGAGGTGTTGGACTGAGAGAGCGGGAGGACGAGGAGGGAGGAGGAGGAGGAGGAGGAGGAGGAGCAGGAGCAGGAACAGGAGCAGGAGGAGGAGCAGGAGGAGGAGCAGGCGGAGGAGCAGGAGGACGAGGTGGAGGAGGAAGAGGAGCAGGAGGAGGAGCAGGAGGAGCGAGGAGGAGGAGGAGGAGGAGGAGGAGGAGGAGGAGGAGCGAGGTGGAAGCACTGGGCTGTGAAGGCCTCTCGTTTCTCCCGGAGGAGGCAGGTCCCAAGGGCTCTGGGCCGTCTGCGGCCACGCCCCACGCCCGTCACCCTGGGGATGCGAAGCCGGTCCCAGGAGAGGCCCCAAGGGTCCAGGACCTGATTTCTCTCCAGGACTTGCCCCTCCCTCATGGGGGCAACGATAGGGAGGGGGGGATTCTCCCTTGATCTAGCATGCAGCTTGTCGATGCTAAGGTCCCTGCGTGATTTTTGTTGGCCTCGGTTCTCTTCGGTCGGCCCCTCCGCCGCTCGCGTCTGGTCTGGCCCTCGCTGCGTTTCGGTTTGGGGCCCTCGTCGGTCCCCTCGTCGCTGCGCGACGCTGCCTGGGACTCAGCGCCCGACCCTGCCCCACGTCCACCCACAACGCAAAGGGGGTGTACAGCTCGGAGGGGACCCACCCCTCGCCTATGTGGGGCCCCATGCGTCGCCGGTTCCCAAAGCCTCCTCGCCAGGGCCAGTCCCTCCGTGGCGACGACGACGACGACGATGGCGGCCTCCGCGGTTTCGGCGCCGACGTCGCCGACGTCCGCCCGCGAGGCCGACATCGAGAAGTTCAAGGCCGAGGCGGCGCGCCTGAAGGAGGAGGCCGACCTGCTCGACGGCGACATCGCCGCCTGGACGGGCGACGAGGCGGCCGCCACCAAGGCCTGCCCGCTGCCAAAGCGGGGGCCCCATCGTGGTCGTGGCAGTCGTCGTCGCCGTCGCCGTCGTCGTCGTCGTCATCGTCGTCATCGTCGTTGTCGTCGTCGTTGTCGTTGTCGTCGTCGTCGTCGTCGTTGTCGTTGTTGTCGTTGTTTTTGTCGTCGTCGTCGTGCTAGTCGGTGTCGTGGCAGTCGCTGTCGTCGTTGTCGTCGTCCTAGCTGGCGGCGTACAATCAAGGCTCCGAAACAAGTAGCAGTTCGGCCCTTCTGACTCCCTTCGGGTTAACACGGAATCGAGGAGGTCCAGAGCGGCAACCTGAGGAGGATGATCATGAGGACGACAAATCGCAGGGGAGGAGGAGGAGGAAGAGGAGGAGGAGGAGGAGGAGGAGGAGGAGGAGAAGGACGAGGAGGAGAAGGAGGAGAAGGAGAAGGAGGAGGAGGAGGAGCGAGGAGGAGGAGGAGGAGGAAGGCGGACGGATTGAGCAGGCCGAGAACCAAGATGGAAACGTAATCCCTAGTCAGCCGCTGCTCGATTCATCCTTCCTGCCTTCCCAGGTCGCTCAACGACGGGCCAAGAGGCCCCCAAGAGGACCCCAACACGGCCCACACCCTCATGTTCTGGAAAGCTTTCCATGAACATGATTGTCGTTGCCTGTCGAAGGAGGAGGGGGAGGAGGAAGAGGAGGCAGAGGAGGCAGAGGAGGCAGAGGAGGAAGAGGAGGAGGAGGCGGAGCAGCAGGAGGAGCAGGAGCAGGAATAGGAACAGGAGGAGGAGGGGAGGAGGAAAATGATGCCGGTGATGGCCGCGGAGGCGGAGGGCGAAGATGAGGATAACGAGGAGGAGGAGGAGGAGGAGGAGGAGGAGGAGGAGGGAAACGAGGAGGAGAAGGAGAAGGAGGAGGAGGGGGAGGAGAAACACAGCAAGAGGAGGCGGAGGATAGAGAAAGAAGGAACACAACAAGAGGAGGCGGATGATCCACTCATTGTTTCCTCTCTGCTTCCCTTCTTCTCTATCTTCCTCCTTTGCTTGCCCCCCACTCTCCATCCTTCCTACCTCCCGCGACCACCGCGAAGACGCCGACGGCGCCGTCGATGCCGACGATCCCATTCCCGCGTTCGTGGCCTCTGGCGTTGCACGCCTGCCACTGGGGTGGATGAGGATGGGATTGGTGAGGATGATGTTTTCTGTGGTCAGAACCTAAATGCGCGCGGGGTGCATGCAATCATACGTAAACATATACATCGGCCCGTGCAAGCGTACATAAACATGTAATGTATACACTTCCCGATACCTAAACATATCCATAAAGGCATACATTTTCGTATGCGTCTACAATTGGCATACGTATACACTTACACATGCATACACGCATACATCTGCAGACACATTTGCGGCCACATCTACATCTACACATGTATGTATGTGTTTATTTATGTGTGCGTCCACGGAGAACTCCGTGTGCGCCGTGCCGCGTGGGCGTCCCACGAGGCGTCGTCGACCTTCGACCCAGGCACGTCGCGGTGCATAGTTTGCAGTCCAAACGTGGCTCGGTGCATGGGTGCCGTTCTCGTGATACGACCCTGTCCGAGGGAGTTCGGTTCTGAGGGAATTCGTGCGTCTTTCCATGTTTTAATAAACTGGCCGTTCTGTTGGGGGGCATCTGCAAGAGTACGAAAACTGGTGGCGCCCGTCACGCAGATCGTGACACCACGTCCATCAACACAGCGTGCTTTCAAACAATGTACGATCTAGTCTTCAAGCACAGGTGGTTTCAATGATTAGCAAGGCGAGTCTTAGATCATTGCCGTGTCGCTCGGGATATACGCCCGCAATTGGTTTGTTGGCTAATAAGGAGCGCACTTCACGGGCGCCTGCCTTGGGAACATTCGGCGGCGCCCAAGCGCCCACAGAACGCGCCCTTTCTTTGTTGTGAAATTTGTTCGTGGGCCACATGTAGTTTGCCAGACACATCATTTCCGAAGGAGCCATGTATTGAACACGGCTTTCCTGTCGCAGCAGTCATCCTCCCAAAATCGAGCCTCGATCATCGGCAATGACCACCTCTTCACCGACTGCATGGGAACGGTCAAGTTCCGCGCAGTGCATCAGCCGCGCCCAGGGGCCCACCGCTGTCAATGCCCACCTGTGGGCGCGCGTGGTGGATGCTGCCCACGGGTGTCCGTCAAGCACAGCCTGGCCCACCGATAGGAGGCAGTTGTCGGGCGCAGCGAGCTCACCATGCTAGAGCTCCACGGCAAACTGCTGGCGGACAAGCGCGCCAAGGAGGGGGCCAAGCTCCGTGCGCCAGACAACGACCACATTCTCATGCTGGAGGGGTGCCGTGCCAGAATCCGAGACGCCGCTTTGCACGCTGAGGTGCACATTTCCAAGTCGGGCTTGCGTGACTCCTGGCCCCTGGAGGCGATCGACGACGCAGAGCCTGAGCCCTACACGATCCACGACAGGGGTCTCGGCCGTCGTTGCTGCTGGCGTGGTGGCGGTGGCGGCCGCGGCAGCTGCGGGAGCAGTAGCGGTTGGAGAGACGACTGGTGAAGCCAGCGTTTCAGACCCTGGTCGGAGGGGCGCCCGCAAGCGGCCTGCGGCTGCCGTGCCGTTGCCTTGCCCCGAGGGGGTGCCGCTGCCGCCTGAGGCCCGCCGTAGTTGCCCACGCCTCCGCCTCCTCATGCGCGGCCGCGGTGTCCCACCCCAGCGGAGCCGAGGCCACAGAGGGCCCCTGGACGGCCAATGCGCGGCAGCTCATGCAAACGCACGTGTTCGGACAGGAGTATGAAGTCATACCTGCGTTCGCGCATTGTTTCATGTATTTTTGGCAGCCGAGGTACGCGTGTCATGATCTCGCCAATCCCCGCTTTGAAGCTGAGGCTCGCTCCAAAGAGGGCTCGCGCCAGGCCCGCACAGAAATGATTGAGGGAGTGGTGCCAGGAGACGACAAATGGCAGCTCCGTGCGCTTGTGTCGCCTTCGGTGCAGATTCGCGTTCACCGGGCGGGCGCCTTCGGCGTCAGGGCAGGCCTCCAGTCTGGCAGGCTGGCGGTTGCCCCGGTCTTCGAGGAGGCACCCATGCCCAGCTGCTCCAGCCCGTGCCCGTCCTGCTGCCGCCGAGTCGTTCTCGTCGGGGCAGCAGGCGTTGGTTCTGCCAGGCGTCGACGGAGAGCGGGTGTCGCACGGTCTCGAAGTGCCCGCGGCGGCCGCAGAGAGACAGGCCGCAGGGCGAGCGCCGACAGGGCCGCAGGAGTTGCCACCGCGGCGCGGGCGAGGAGCGGCCCCTTGAATGTGTTTCCATGTTGCAGGCAAGTGCCTCCTCCTCCTCCTCCTGACCTCGGATGGGCACGCGGAGAGGTAAAAACATCGAGCCCCGACGCACCACAGACAGAACACGCAAGCACATACAGCTACATACGCACGTATGCATGTGTATATATACACATGCATGCAGATATCTGTATATCACACACAACACACCATACACACAACACACACACATGCATCTATTACATATCCACAGCATTGGATACGCACGCGCACACAACGCATATGTTTTGGTCCCGCGTCCTCGCGCGACAAAGGGCGGTCGATCCGCGCTGGGAGTTTCTACCAGTGTATCCAGAGCAGCATGTACACACGTGCGTATCTTCATGTTATGTTTACTATATGCACAATCTAATTCCCCACTGTTATATATATAGTTATGTGTGTATGCATGTGCATACGTATGTTTGTATGCTTGTATGTATGTATGTTTGTCTGTCTGTATGTATCTATGTATGTGTGTTTGTATGTATGTATGTATGTATGTATGTATGTATGTATGTATGTATGTATGTATGTATGTATGTGTGTATGCATGTATGTATGTATGTATGTATGTATGGATGTATGTATGTATGCATGCATGTATGTATGTATGTATGCATGTATGTATGTATGTATGTATGTATGTATGTATGTATGTATGTATGTACGTGTGTACGTGTGTATATCTGCATGTGTGTGTGTGTGTTAGAGAGATGGAGGTTTGCCACCGCCTTATTGCATGTTCGTATATTTGTGCAGATGTGCCCCTTTTATCCGCCTGGTTTGATCCCCGCAGTTCGATTGGAGGAGAGCCGACAAGCCATTGAAGAGCGGGGCCTGCTGAGGCCAGCCGGGACTACCCGGGGCGGGCCGCATGCGCGCAACCGGGCGTGTTGTCGACACTTTCCAAACGGAACCGCTGTGGGTGGAGGAGAGGAAACTTGAGGAGATCGGGTCTCAAGTCATGCAGTTGCGAAGCATCTTGGCTTGCTGATACGCCCACCAAAGAATGTGTTAATAACCTTTCGTGGTTTGCACGAGATGTTCTTATAACCTTTTCTGGCTGGGGCTGTCTTGTTTTAACACAGCGGGTTTATGTTCTAAGAACATGGTTTGCGTTATTAGAAGGTTCGCTTGGTTCTAAGAATATTGGGTGGTAGGCTTGTAGGAATGCCAGGACGGTCGGTCCCTGCTCAATCATTGCTTTCCGCCATGTTCGGATTCCCGAGGCCTTTCTTGGGCCGCGGTCGAAGAGCTGCTCGAGATGAAGAAGTGGTTGTGGGTGAGATCCCGGGGGTCCTCAGGACCTTTCTCCACCATGCTTGGAGAGCGCGAGACAACACATTGCATGGGTCCCACGATCGGTTCCAAGCCTTTTGCGACGCATTCGTTTCTTCGCTCACATTTGCCTCATCCGTTCACTGCGTGAACGGTGTCGCCCAGGCGTGCAGCAGGAGCCTCGTCGCATCGACCGTCCTCGATGTGATTCCGCTGCATTCAGGCACGGTGGTTGGGCACCGTGCCGTTTCGGCAAGTTCCCACAGGCATTCATTCCCCCTTGGCCTCCTGCTGCCGGCGCCCGCCGGGCGATCGGGGCGTCCCGACGGGCTGCGGCGCGGGCGCGGGGGAGCCAGCCAGGTGCGCGACATGGAAAAGGCCGCGTACGACGAGCTGCACCAG